AGTTACGATTGGAAGCTGTTGGCGAAAGCGCTTTTAAGCTGGTAGATTGCGGACTGTGGAACAGCCCGTGCCCTGGCTTGACTACGAGTGGGGATTGTGTTGCAGTCTGAAGTTCTTGGGCGAAAGCGGTTATACATTGGTCGGGTGGCGCGCTAGTGTGGGATCGCAGCGCACAAAACAATGCCCAAACTGCTCTCCGCCCTGCAAATCTGCTCGACAAATGACGTCGAGGACTACGCAGGACGTTGGCTTCCGCTTTTTGCGAATGGTCTGCTCTTCGTACGGTTGGGGACGCGCGAAGAGACACACATGATCCCCTCTTATGTACTTGTGCGTACCAGAATGATGACAAATACAAGACCAACGCATTATACATACCGTATTATGTATGTACTTATGCTTTATGTGTTTTATGTGCTTATGTTAGAATTTCTCTGATATGTGTTTCCCTGCACATTCAGAGACTTGCACAGCTTCTTCTATGGGACGGCAAAAGTAACATGCTTTGCTCAGGAGGAGATGCCCATTTTATGGTGCATTTTGCCTAATGTCAGCAGTGATTCCTTTGCCTTAAACGCTTGTGGAACACCTGTGTGTGCACGTCCTCTGTTCCCATTTCCCAACAACAAGACATTGTGTTTGGGAACCTATAAAATGCTGAAGGGCATAACTGCTGTGTAGCATAGTCCCACAGCGTTCCCGCGTGAAGATTATACAGCTTTTGTACTCAAGCTGGTTCTTTGCAAGCCCTGACATCTGCCTGCGTTGCAGGTTTCAGAAAGATGCAGTGGCGGGGTCATACTGGTGGACACACGATGGAAGTGGTGAGGAAGTGAAGGTTGTGTTTACCACCGATAAGGGTCCCCTGGTGAGTACAGTGATACTTGCTGCCGGCAGCAGGTGTCCACTGCAGTGTTCCATGGAGTGTTTCCTTGTCTGTTGGCTTGTTTTCAGACCAACCGTAACTTTTGAAGGGATGTTAAACAACACGAACTCATTCAAGGGGATATGGGTCAGTGTTTGATAGGCTACAAGCTGCATTGAAAGAATGAAGACCTGCCAGTGAAAAGCAGCCAGACCAGGGATACTTGCAGCCAGAGATTCATGGTGGGAGGGTAACAGTGGATTTGCAAACCTGCTGTGCTGGAGCTGCTCTGCTTTGTTTTCTTGGCTCCAATACCTTCACATCACCTGAGTCTTCTCTTCTCTGTTGTGGGCTTCAAGGCCACTGTGTCTGCAGGCATCACCATGTCCTGTATTTCCTCAGGGCCTGTAGACACTGAACATAGCAACTATGCACATCCATCACACGTCAAGGCCGAAGGGTTGATGCTGCACACAACATGCAGCACATAACAATGTCAGGCAAACTGAAGTAGTGTTGTGCAATTGCTGTGCTCGCATAGTAGCACAGTGTAGTAGCATAGCAGCATTGATCCCTTTTCCGATTGTTGCAGGTCACTTCTGCAAAGGAGGGCCATAATATCTTGAGGGTGGCAGAGAAGTGTGGTGCAATGAAGCCTGATATGTGCGTCAGTCAAAGAGTACTGGGTGCTGGATGTTGCTGCTATCCTCTCAGATATGTGTCGTGTGTATGAGCGAGCATTGTGTCGTACTGCTTAGAAGATTTCTGCGCTGTTGATATTGGCATGTTGCAGCAAAGGAGCCGCACCCGTAATACGTATGCTAATGTGCAAACCGAGTGTCTCAAAGGCCTGACATGCCACCTTGATGAGGTGTTGTCAAAGTGTGCCCTGTGAGCAAAGGCAGTAGCAATGAAAACAGTGGCTTCCAGATGGAAAGCATGCCATACAATGACAGCCCTCTCTTGAACAAATACTACTGGATGTTGTGTCGGGCCGCCAATCCATTGAATGTGCGGGTTGAATTGGCAGAGAACCTAAGTTACACCTTAGGGTTGACAAAAGGTGACTTGGGGGCGTGACAGATTCGCTGTAGCATCTGTTGCATGTCGTTATGAAGATGCACGCTTCCAATTGCAAGAGAGAGGCAGACCACAATCATTGTACAATGATTGCTAAGAGCAGTAAAGCAGTGAGGGTAGTTGTGGCTGACTGATGTGCTGCTATCTTTGTGGCTGTGGTGTACATTGTTCCACGCTGGTGATAAGTGTGCCTCACCTAGTTTGGAAGCTGTTCAGCTAATTTAGACTTCCTGTTATTGACTGCATTGATGGGAAATTGCCCAATGGTCTCACATGATGACGAATACAGGGTGAATCGATTACAATGATGCCGATGATGAACTGCCCGTGTCTTGCAAGCGCCACCGATTCTGTAGGCAGGGAGTACCTGTTGTCTGTATATTGTGCACAGCACTCAAAACAAACACATTGCAAATGGAAGGTGTCAGATACCTATCACAGGCGGGTATAGGTCATGGAGGCTGCAAGCGTCCTAAAAACTTTACAACCAAAAAACCAAAACCAACCGAAAATCTAAAACCGACTGCAAGAGCCTAAAGTACTAAAAGAGAACCAAAAAACGCTGCATCCAGAGAATGTCCTTCATGACCTGGTGTCCGGAAATGAAGAATGTCGGACACTGTGGGCGAATGCAAAGTTTGGCGATTTCTGATTTCTGAGAAAGGCAGCCTGTGTCATGTGAGAAGGGACTTCTGTTTGGAGGGCGCGTGCGAGCTGTGTCAAATGGAAATTGAAGGAGTTAAGGAAGTGAGCTGGAGGGCAAATCCAGCAGGCAAGGATTGGAGGGAAGAGTGGGAGGGGAGGGGTGGGGTGGAAGGGGCGGCGGCTCTGAAAACCTGAAATTCGAACTTGCGTGCCTGCCACTGTCGAAAATTCGTGATAATGTATTGTTGAAAATTCGCCAGAAGTGTGTGAAAATCGCCATTCACAAGAAAATCCGTGTGATAAAAAAGTCGTGATGAAACTTGGCGAGAAATCGTAAGTAAGTTGAGGCATTACACTGGCAATGTTCTGTCACCCTGGGACAAGGGGCCGATCTCACACCAGGATGATTGACGCTGTTCTGCAAACGAGATTTCGTTCCTCTGTGCTCAGAACTGGTTCTTAGTAGTCTTGGAGTACTCCATGACACAAACGGCTCCGTCCATATTGACATTTAGCCAATATTATTTTCAACATCTTCCCATCTTGGCATTTGGCCAACGATTGCATGGAAATGATAAACGTGTCTAACTGCTGCCTAGCATGGTGGGAGGAATCTTGGCCCCGTTTGTCTTGCCGGTTGTCCAAACAGCACCTTGACGCCTGTGTCACCACACGTTGTTGCGCGAGCATACCCACTTGTTGCTGGGCGAAAGTTCAAAGAAAACGGAGACCCTGGACCAGAAGTGAATGAAAACCTGCAACGCTATTGGTCGCACCCCGGTGCAGTGTGCGCCAAGCATAGTGCCTGTGACGCGGAGGCTTTCAGCCAATCCGCGCTGCATGCGTGGCGCCGTTTCTGATTTGCCTTCCGTTGTTGCTGGCAGCTGGCAGCCTTGTTCGCACGTGCATCACTCCCATTCCCCAAGGGTGCAAGGCAATGGATGCAAAGGTCTTGAGCGAGGGCGATGTTTGGGGCGAACAGATGCTGTGAGGCCTGTGAGTCAGGATGTTGGACCGCCCAATGTGGTGGCGAGGGATAGGAAGTAGATTGTTGTGCACATGTGCTTGCTGACTTAGCGTGGCCAGATGCAGGGCCAGTAGCTAGTCTTGTTGTGGCGGCAGATGTGCCCACAAGATCCTTCCCCGAGCGCAAGATCCTCATGAGAGAAAAAGCTCCTTTGGGCACCACTCTCAAGACTGTGGTGACGTTGCCCGTGGGATCACCGTTGGGTGATCTATTGCTGTGGGAGCGTTGTGTCCTGGTGCCTTGGTGGCTTCCATTTGGTGATAAATCTCACATAGCTGGTGATTCGCCCGTTGCCAAAGCAGCAATCACATGTGGTGGGATGTGCACAAGGATTGTTCAACAGCTAATAAACCCCGTACGCATGTGAGCAGAAACATTATCTTGTGTCACCTGCAGCGACCGGAAAACTGCACCGTCAACATTTTGAACAATTACACCGCAACAACGTCATGTACAATCGTCTACAACGACCTCATACCACAGTCCTGGAGAGACGGACCTTCACGTAATCGTGGTATGGAAGGGGCACACACGCACAGCCCCAAACAAAGCACACAAGGCACAGCAATCAACAAACGAAGCCTGTTTCCGTTCGTGCCCCTTGCGAAATCCCAATGCCACGCACAACTGTTTGCAAAGACCTCACAGCGCAGCCCCACAAAGACAAAAATCCACATCAACCCAAACGCTCAGGAGGCGCACATACCCAGCCTCAAACGTGCCAGGGCACAGCAGCCAACAAGCGAGCACCACTGCCCGCCATGTCACACAGTGAAAGCCCCAGCGCCAGGCACAACCGTCTGCAACGACCTCACCAAGCCGTCCTAGAATGTGAAACCCCCCAACTCAAAACATGCAAAAGGCGCGCAAGCCCAGCTCCAATCGGGGCACAAGGCACGGCAGCCAACAAACGAAATTCTGTCACCCGTCATGTCCCGTGGTGAGTGCCCAAACGCCGGGCACAGCTGTCTACGTCGACCTCGTGAAGCGATCCTAGAGAGACAAAACCCCACAGCACAAAAACTGCAAAAGGCGCACATGCCCGGGCCCAAGCAGGGCTCGGGGCACGGCGGCCAGAGCGCGACGCACTGCCATCCGTCGCGTCCCGTGTTGAAGCTGAAAACACACGACTACTCCCGTTGCCCGAATCGCGCTCCTCCAGCGGCCTTCCCTTGCTGGCCCGAATGCTTGCCCTAAAAAGGTCGCCGGAGCCTTCCCCGCAGGAACCGCAAGGCACACTGCACAGCGCCGGCGCGTCTACGTGTCCAAGATCTCTCCGCGGAGGGAAGCAGGCGGGGAGGCGAGGTGCCCAGGAGAGGGCCCCAGGACACCCGCCGACCTCACTCTTTTCGACGTCCCGAGCGCGTGAGCCGACGTGCGGCCTCACGCCAAGGCACCAACCCCCGGCAGGAAGAGGGCTCCCAGGTGCAGCAGGCCGTAGAAATCGCCGCACAGGCCGCAGGTCCTCCTCAAGCCTCGGGGCGTCCGGTAGAGCAGCAGCCGCGCGGCGACCAGCCAGCACAGGGCGACCCCCGCCGATTGCCAAGCCCGCGCAGCGACGCTGGCGCCCACTGGTCCCGCCAGCCCCAGCAGCACGGCCGGCCCGCTCGCCGCAGTCATCAACGCCAGGGCCCTGCAAGAGGAATCTTTTCCTCCCAAGAATGGAGACATTGTCCCGTCCGCGGCTCTGCGGCCATCGGTGCCCCCTGCCAGGCCCTGGACGTTGCCCCAAATGAAGGAGGCCGCCGCCATGGCGCCTATCCACCGCCAGATGACGGGAGAAAATGAAGTCGCCATCCCCCACGCAGCTGCCATCTGGGCCGCAACGCCCGCCGCCGCAACCGCGCTCCCGAGCAAGCAGTGCCGATGGGCGCCCAGCGGGACGCCCAAGGCACCAGTGGCTGCAGAAATCAGTGCGAACGGCAGCACTCCCAGCGCCTGGCCCAGGGCAACGAATCCCGCCAGGCCGACCGCGTAGCGCGCCAAAGCGCCGGGGAATGTCGCCCTCCCCAAAGCCATGCGCCTCCACGGGTTGCCGATCCCGCCCCTCGAGCCGGAAGTCGAGCCGAAGACCGGGCCGAGGACGTGATCGCAGGCGCTGCGTTGGTACAGGCACAGTCCGAAGTACGCCAAGCTGCCCGCCAGGACCCCGGCGTCCACGGCGCCCGCCTGGGCGAACGCTGCCGCTGTGAGCAGCCAGCCGGGGTAGGCTGCCGCGGACAGGTCGCCCCTGAGCAGCTCCCAAGCCACACGGCTCTCGCGACGCGCGGCCGACCAGTTCATCGCCCATCCAGGCTTCGGAACTTGCCGGGCAGCCGGCGCCGATCGCACCCTGCCCACGGCGACCTCCGGCACGCGCAACCCCGCCAGCGCCTCAGCGCCAAATTCTTTCTCCCCCGTCGCGTGCAACCGATCGAACCCCAACGGCTCCACATTCGGCCCCTCCGCTCCGTCTGGATCAAGACCGCCCCGGCCCTCCCCCGTCGCCGCCGACGCCCTGACGGGCCCCCTCAAACCCCTGCCACACTGGCTGTCGACGCGCCCGGCGCTCGCCGCCAAGCTTGACGCCCCCAAACCCTTAGGCCGACAGACGCCGGTCCGCGCCGTCCCGATCATGCCCTCGATCGAATCACGCCCGCCCTTCCTTTGTTTTTGGCAGCAAACGGGCGCGCCGGCCAACCGCCGAATCCCCCGGGGAGGGCCCCAGAACCGTCGTTGAGCGTCACGTGGCTCGCAACCACCCTCCCTGACAAAGACCCCGCCGTCGGGGCCGCCCATGGCAAGCACCCGGTCGGCCAGCAGGTTGGCGTGAGCCATAAGGCCCAGGAGGGAATCCTTGTTTGCGGGGCCGGGCCGAGCAACCTGAACCCAACTGGACCAGCGGGAAGGGGCGCGGTACTTGGGGGCGAACGAGCAGGGCCTGGGACCAGCAACGCAATCTGTTCAGATCAGTCTCCAGCATCAGTCAGGCGTCAACATTCACCGCAAATTCGCGGCTCAGGGCTCCCAGCCGGTGCTCGGACGTCAGGTTCGCTTTGCTGATCAAATTCGTCGTGTTTGTCATGTCCATCAACCACAGCTGCCGCGGCACTGGCCCAGCGTACGAGGCCATTACACTTCGAGTGAGATTGTCAGCTGCAGTGATTCGGCGTCCGTTGGCCCCCATGTGCGTCAACGCAGCGCAGCCAACACCTCCACCAGGAGAAAAAGGGCCAAACAACGCGTGTTCAAACGTGCACAAAGTTTACGGCTTTGGGGTATTTCGGTGGTTTTGGCGTGCAGAACACTGATGAAATGCATATATATGTGTTGGCAAAAAGTGTTATTTGGTCCTTTTTCTGCTGGTGTTCCTCATGTTGGATATTCGGCGCTGCGAGGCTTCTGTGCATTTTGCGACGGAGCTGCTCAGTCTTTTCAGTACGCGTTGTTTCCGGTGTGCGCCAGCCTGGCAGAACAGTCTTTCTGCCAAATTTCTTTTTTCAGTTGATTAATCAACTGAATATTCAGTCCACCTGCACCTACTGTGTGTGCGCCATGTGACCAAAGCAGGCATGAATTTTTGTTGTTGGAAGGGCTGGCGGCATTGGGAGGGCGTTACAGAATGCGTGTCCATTGTGCACAAGCAAAGGGGACGGGCCACCACGGGTGCATGCCAATGCCACTCGAAGCAAGTTGCATTTATTGCTCAACAAGATAGCCAAGATTGCCGATTATCCGCCAAAGAGGAATGAGGCAGACTTGGTGGGGGGCCGTAGCGACACAGGCCTGGCAACGCCTGTGAGCTCTGTTGTCCCTTCTGGCACAGCGCAGCTTTCCCACGAAATGTGAAGCCTTTAGAATTGCCCAATCTATTCGAATTCGGCTTGTCTTGCTCCAGCTGTTTTGACTTATCGTCCGGTAATCGTGCTCCGATGGGTGCTTCTTGCTGACAAGCATTGCCGGGTATCAAGATGGACCTTGATGTCCAGCATCGTGATACCTGGAGTGAGTGCATATGCGCTCACTTCGGATGTTGGGAACTTCCCTGGAAGAACCCCTTCCACCTTCCTAGCCTTGCACTGCAAGTTTCAGAGCTGCATGGCAAGACCGTTCCCAAAACCTCAAGGCAGCGCATGAGCAAACCTTGGGGATCTCTCTGTCTGTTTCATGAACGCCTTTTGATGAGGGAGTTTTGCCTGATCAGGCAAACACTTGCAGCATTAATGCGTCCACAACACCAACAGCGGCAAATTGCTAAATCATAAGCTCATTACTGGTGGTACATCATTGGTTCCAAGGTTATCCAAGTACCAAAATTAGGCAATTGCAAGCTGCAAGGTGCTTTACTCGGTTTCTCCAAATTGCCCCGTACTTTGGCCTAGGCTTGGTTTTCACGTTTACGTTTACGTTTTTGCTTTTACGTTTTTACGCAGAAAAACGTAAGTTTGCAAAAGGGCCTATTTTTACGGCTATTTTTACGTTTTTACGGCTCCCCTGGGACACCCAGATTACGCGATGAAAGTTGCGTACAATGATCAGTCCTCCGCCATATCCAGAACCCACAACACAGTGTCCACCTCGCCCTTGGCAAGGGCGGCGATGGCGTTTGACAAAAACTTGTTTTCTGCCCCTCTCAGGGCGTCTGGCTGCCATTCTCTGGATTCCGTAAGTCTGTATGTACTGTCCTTATGTACACCGGGCAGTCTTTACGTTGTATTTACGTGTTTTTACGCATTTTTACGCGTAAAAACGTAAAAACAGTTTTTACGCGTAAAAACGTAAATACGATCAGTTTTTACGGCGTAAAAACCAAGCCCGCTTTGGCCGTACAGCAGCTGTCCGGCTTTCTACATTTTGAAGTTTGAACTTCGAAGCAACAATAAATCGATCTGCCGGTGCTCTGATAACGGAGCACCCGTGTCTCTGGGGCCGCCAACTGCCTCACAAAGTCGGAATCCAAAATCCCATTGCCGCCACAATCGAACTGCTGCACAAGTGCATGAAATCTTGCTGTTGCACTCGTTGAGTGCACGCTGCTGCACAAATCCTAATAAGGTTGAATACGTTGCGCACCCAAGTACCAGATCAAACGGAGCCCGCTCGTGTGGTGACATTTTCAAATCGACATGGCGCCATCACCAGCGGTCGTCGCCAGCACTTTGTTAGCCATTAGCATACCCATCCTTGACCGGGACATGGCATTTTCGAGCAAGCGAATTACGCAGGTATGCTATTTCGATTGATCCCATTGCCGCCGCCTGCGATTGAAGAAGCTTTCAGAAGTCCAGTCTTTCCTCTGAGCAAAAATCAACCCATAAATACTAAAATGCAGCAAACTAGATCAACTGTTCGGTCTTGTCATCGTTGGTTCTGTCGGTGAGAACTCCACTCCCATTGACTCGCCAACGATGCAGTACTTTGCGCCACGGACAAACCGGGGCAATGCAAAAGGGTGTCTCATCACTGCGGAACATGTTCAGAGCCTGGAGACACAGTGCCTCACAGCAAAAGCGACTAAGTCAATGAATTGCGCTCGATGGCGCACCCGTTGCGACTAGGTGATTGTGCGAAACTATAACTATCCCGCTGCTGTGTTTTTCAGGGCGTGCTACTCGGTCATGTCTTACATGTCGGGGATTCGCATCTGCACAGTGCACCGCATCCGAATTGTGTGTATTATACGCAACAGTATTGCACGTATGCTCCACACAGCTTCACCCCCACACATACACCGCCCCGAAACACCACCCCCACGGCATGCTGCACGCGCCCCGTCTTGCGTAGCCCTGGCAGGTCTGTTGCGCGGCAACGGCTTATCTCGGTAACGCGGCCTTTTGCCGGAACCCCTACGTAATGGTTCTTTTGTATACGAAAACGACTCAAGGGCGATAGACTTAGAAGCAGCCATTCCTTGCCGCTGAACTCAAGCATTCTTCGGTGACACACGATCACCTGACTGCAGTGCGTTCCGTCGCCAGGGGAGGCCTTATGAGCCGAGCTGCTGATGGATTGATGCATTCAAGTGCACCAAAATTTGGAAGTTCGAAGCGACGCATCGGCGCAGGTCGTCACAGATAACTATGGCAGTTGCTGCAAAGGTCACAATCAGAACGTTCCCAGAATGTTGGACAGTCCTGCCGTCGGCAGGATTGTCAACCTCGAAGAATGTTAATTTAGTTTATGGAATGGGGATAGAATTGTTTATTAATTTAGACACACTATCTACTTGTTTTGAATTGATTGCCTCCTTGATTTATAATTCAACAATGCGGCAGACTACTAGTTCGTCTTTTGCTCCGTTTAAACTGGCGATACCGATTCATTTTCGGATTGTGTCCATTGTGTCACTCAGCTTCGAAAGACGGCAGATATTTTCTCGCTCACTGCAGCGTTTACAAGTACACATCGAAGCCAATTCGGCCTGTTTTGAAATAGCGGCTGAACAACACTTTATGCTTCTGTCCCAGCTGAGCAACTGGGGAGAACACTTCTGTCTCTCTTTGCCATCTACAAAAATTTCTTAAAATTGGGAATTGATGGATTGTGGACTCTGTTTAAGTTTAGTCGAGTTTAAACATTAAATGTAAATAAAAATGTCATGGCAACAATTTTACTCATTTCAATGGAGAATTTCATGGCCACCGCATTGCTCAGTGGAAATGGGAAGTTGATGTCAACCTCCTCACCTTGTTTTGCAAAACTCACGATGACGATACTCACAGTCGGCAGAAAAACATTCCACTGTGTCGCTTGTGAATGAGGAATGCGCCAATGAAGGACCAAGCAGTCATTTCACATTTCGGTGCTTCTCATCAAACGTGCCTTGCCCAACTCCCCGTGCTCAGACTGTTCCGGATACGGGCCATGAGCACGCTCGCAGTCGAGGAGACGGAGACGGTGAAGCAGACGGTAGCGGTGACGGGGCCTCAGACGGAGACGGGTAACTGGGGTGGTCACAGGTCAGTGGGCGTTTTTCGGGTTGGTTTTGGAGTTTTCCCGTTATACAGAAGGTTACTTAGCCGGACGGGGTCAGGATTGGGTGGTGGGGCGTTAGGGTTGGGGTGTGTATGTACTGCGTCTCCGTCTCAATGCCATCTCCGCCGTGGTGACCTTGCTCATACTCCGTATTCGGAGCACCCTCCCTGTGCTGCCCAGCTTCCCCTTTTGGCCACCTCAAGACGGCCCTCCACGACGACCCCACCCACCCACCCATCCCCGGTACCTCCCCCACCGCCGGCCATGCTGACGCTCGCCCTGGCCTGCCTGGGCGCCGCCGCCCTCTGCCTGGCCCTCACCTTGGTCGCCGCGCACGCATGGATCCACGTGCTTTCTACCCTCAGCCCCGCGTCCCTGGACGGCCGCGCCGTGCTGGTGACCGGCTGCGACACCGGCCTGGGCAGGGCGACCGCCCTGAGGCTCGCCGCCAACCCGAGGCTAACGGTCTTCGCGGGGTGCTTCACTCAGCGCGGCGCCGACGACCTGGGATCGAGCGGTGGGGGACGTCCCAAGTGGGGGGCAGATGTTTGCGTGCGGGCACGTCTCCTGTGCCGCCCTTGTGACGCGGGCCTGCTTATGCGGGCCTCTCTCTTATCCTGTCTCTTTTGTGTTGGTGTTCATCTTTTCATGTCTTTTATGTTGGCATGTCTCTTGTCCTCACTGCATTTATGCCGGCCTGTCTTTCGCCGTGTCTCTTTTGCGTTGAACTGTCGCCTGTCGCGTCTTCTTTATGTTGACCTGTCCCGTCATGCCTCTTTTGAGTGGGCCTGTCCCTTGCCCGCTGAGCGATGGGCGTTCTAAGCCCGGAAATGGATTGGGGATGCATCGACTTTCCCTGGCCCGCCTCCCTCCTTCCTTTTAAGATTCGGGAGCCGAGGCGCTGAAGAAACGCGCCCGAGGTTGCTCCCGCAACAAACTACGCCAGCGAAGCTTAGAACCGATCATGTCATTTCCACCTTGGCCTCAAGGATTCAGCGACTAACTCCTCTAAAGGAATCATCGATCCATCCTTCGAAGAATAAATCGATTATTTCCTTGCCCTCCATGATCCAACTATTCGCTCCTTCGCTCCTTTAACAGAATTCAGTGGCAGCAAGAACCGTTATCGCAGGCTCCTCTCCGAATCGCCTCCAAAGACTCTCTAAGACGTCCGCTCCTGAACACAGCATGGAAATGAGTCTCACATACACTTGCCCAAGGGCTTGCCCTTTGCATGACCTGTTTTCCTTAGAACAAAAATTATCCTTCCCCCAACAGGAACTCCCTCTGAGGCGCCTTTTGTGTGGCCTGCTTTTTCTCTTGGCGTCTGACGACGTTTATCCTGCCCGTAAGAGGCCCCATCCCCCAGCTCTCTCCGGCCTTTCCCCCGTTTTGTCCCTTTGCATGCACTGTTCTCCTCATGGCGTGCAACAAATCTTATCCTTCTCTCAACAGCCTGCCACTCGCCGGGTGCTTGCTCTTTCTATGACCCGTTTTCCTCTTGGCAAGCGGCAAATCTCATCCTTGGGCCCCTTGAGGCCCCCCAGCCTCTGGGGTGCCCATTGCATTACAAAGTTTGTAATTCAAATATAATCTGTATTTCACATTGGGTGTGACAAACTCTCATCCTTCCCCAACAGGAAACCCCCCTAGCCCCAATCTCATTCCCATGCTCCTGGACGTGACCTGCCAGGCCAGCGTGGACGCCGCTCTGCAGATGGTCCGAGAGTGGCTGTCCGGCCGACCCCTGTATGGCGTGGTCAACAACGCGGGAGTCATGGCAGGCTTCTTCTGCCAGACGGCAAAGATTGAGGACTACAGGAGAGTTGTAGACGTCAACTACCTTGGGACGGTGCGCGTGGTGAAGGCGTTCCTGCCGGGGCTGCTGGAGGCCGGGGGGCGGGTGGTGAACGTGACTAGCAGCACCAGCCTGCACGCTTTTCCGCACTACTCGGCCTACACGCCGACCAAGCACGCCGTCGCGGGTGAGGGCCCGTGCTGCACTGTGTGCGTTTGACTGTTTGTTTTCAGTTCTAGATTTCGTTTGTGTCAACAGAAAAAATAGAATGAAGCAAAATAGAATAAAACGAAAATAGGATCAAAATAAGAATTAGAAACTTCTTTGTTTTTATTTCATTCCGTTCTGTTTGTTTTGCTTTTGTTTTGTCTTTTGTTTCTGATTTTGTTATGCTTTTTTGTGTTGTTGCTTCTGTACCTGTACCTGTTTCTGCGTTTGTTTTCCATTTCTGTGTCTGTTTTTCATTTCTGTCTCTGTTGCTTCATCGTTTTGACTTTCCTCCAAAGCATTCCCCCAGTTCTGGACTGCAAAATAAGAATTTCACTGTGTTGTTGTGTCTTTCACCAGGCCGCAGTGCGCTGCAGCACAGTTATGCGTTATTCAACGTCCAGTTCTCCGTCCTGTACTCCGAATGCAGAAGAGATTAATAGCCGTGTATGTCATTTCTCGGCGTCTCATTTGTTATGTCTCTTGAATTCTTATGTGTTGGTCTCCGAAATACGATGTATTCCACTGGGAGAAAACGGCATGTTGGCGATGCCAACTGCGATGCCATTTTGACACAAATTGATGCCGTCACAGTGAGTGCGATGGCGTAAAAGCGGCTGTGATGGCATCAATTTGTGTCAAATGGCATCGCAATTGGCATCGCGAACAGGCTGTTTTCTTCTGGTGTTCAATGTTAGATCGACTTCAATAGTTTAGGTGCTGCTAATCCGAACAGACGCGTGGACGTGATTATTGTCAGCCAGGGAACATATGCGGCGTGCAATCACGCTGGCAAACATGACGGCGAAGCTCCAATTTTCCAACACTCTGCAGAACGCCATGCGCATGATATGACATGTCGTATTTGCAATAGTCCCGTTTGGGGCATTGGTGCTGAGCACCTTAAATCCTTTTGAATATGGAAGAATGTTTGAACACATGAACTGAATGTTGTCCTTGCTGTGCCCAGGATGTCAGAAGCGTGCATTACACGCTGTGCTCCACACTATATTTTTAGTTTTAGAAACTTCACACAAGCGTATTTAGAACAGTTGTATAGTTGTTCAACATTCTGGCACAGCGACTCCGGGGCCTTGTTTGCCTTGCTACGATAGTATGCCACTGCCTCGATACAATAGTCAGTACTTCCCTATCAACACTGTCACATTTCTGTGCACTGATGCCCATCTTGCTGATAAGGACTCTCTTTGTTGATGGACAGCATCACTTGTCAGGGGCAGGGAAATTTTGGGGAAACGGGGGTAGGGTGAATCTGATTGGAGGCGAACGAACATTGAGACACAAATAAAATGCTTATTTTGGAATTGACCCCAACATCGCCTTCAAAGTGCCAGGGCTGTGTTTTATCAAGTTCATTCGACAGATGTGATCAATGGATTTGAGCCCACCTTGCTGCGCGCGTCACAGCCTTCAGCGACTGCCTGAGGATGGAGCTGCGGTCGCTGGGGGTCGCCGTCGTCCAAGTGGCCCCGGGGGCCATGAGGACGCCACTCCTGGAGGGCGTCGTGGGCGGCCTCAAGGCCGAATTTGAACGGGCGGACCACGCCACAATTGCGCGCATGGGCAAGAGCTTCCCGCAAGAGTTTGTCTCCCGGTTGCAGGCCATCATACCGGCCATAGCCGAAGACCCCCGGGGGGCGGCTGGAGTGATAGAGGGAGCGCTGCGCAGTCGCCGCCCCAAGGCGGTGTATTTCGTGGGAAGGGACACGCGGGGTACCGACTGGCCGCTGTCCTGCCTGCCCCACTTCTTGAGGGACGCGGCTCTGCAGCGGATGATGGTCATGCCGGGGTCGAATTGAAGTGCCTGGCAGTCCTTTGCGTGTGCAACTTGTACTTTGATCTGACAGACTGTATGGTAGTGTTGTATTGTGTTGCTGTAACTGTATTGTATTGCTGTATTGGTGTGTTGATGTGATCGACACAACTTGTGCTGTGTGACTTTTTTTATTCTAAATTTCTTGGTGTGATTGTGTGCGTGTGTACTTTTATATGCGACTGAAGGCGATTCGCAAGCACTGGTGCAACACTCGCCTGCAGTTGGTACTGGCGAAATTGCCATTTGCATTGCATTTGAATAACCTCGTAATTTTTTTGGTACTTTTTTGGGTAATTAAATTTAGTTTTTCCGTATTTCTTTTCGTAAATTGCCGTGTTCAAGCAGTGTCAGAAATGTTGATTGTTGAGAATGTTAACTCGCGCTACAGTTCAAATTGAATCGCGACGTTTTCGGTGCTTCTTGAGTGCCATTTGCCACTTGAGCAGGATCGTACAAGTTGGTCCGATTCAGCATTGCGGCTGGCTGATACAGCTTTGGACAACGCGGTTTCCTGGCAACACAATGGACCTTCATCCTGTTGGCAGCAATGGACACCACGGCGTCATGCAATTGCGTGGCACCGTAACAGGTGGTGGAGTTGGGATTCAAATCGCTGTGTGCGCGGAAGAGCATCGCTCCTCCATGCAAGCACATTACACTGACGAGGAAAGGAGAAATATTCATCGCCTTCTGCCACAATAGCTGTTGCTGGCTGGAACGAGACACAATGGCCTCATTCTACCCATTTGGGCGCTTCATTTGTCCAGTCGTTAACGAAATGAAATAGCTGTTAACGATAAAACGTTAACGAAACAATAATATTCAACGTGCATTAAATGCCCGATCGGCACAACGTTGTGGCGTGGCGCCATACAACGGACTGTGGACCCAGTGCCGATTTTGTCCTGATGCGTCCGGTTGTCGAAGACCAGGGAGAGTCTCCCATTGACTCCGAATGCGAATCGGGCCTGAGCACAGATGGGTTCCCACCAATCGATATACCATAGTATACTTGACCCTTCTGCATCAAAGAATTTTGCCGCTACGCTTTGTGCTCGGCAATTTTTTCCAGAGCGTTGTTTGCTTTTTGGATGTTGTTCCACAAAAATTTTGTTATTTTTTCTCTGCAAAAGGGCAAGCGTTACGTTGCCATGCAGAAAGGTTGATTGTTTCATGATAAACCCGTCCTGATTCCACCGGTTTCCGACTCACCTGCCGCCCGGTCCTGGTTGGGTGAGCAACGGTGGATTGTCGCTTTCGAGCTCATGTCAAGTAGATCAAATCCCAGATGCTCAAGTACCACAGATTTGGGGGGAATCACGAGCGCACAACCGCCAGTGTAGGTGCAGGCGGCTGCCGCGCGGATTGTTCCCTGCTGATGCAGGCTTGGCAGCACATCCGTTGCACAGCCGTGGAATATATCACTGAAACCCACTTTGACAGTGTTTGCCGTCCCCGCGGCACACACACACACCCGTTTAGTCTCACAGGGTGCCACGAAACCGCTCCCCTCCACAGCTGCTCGCTCCTGCATGGCTCAAAATCCTTTCATATCAAAGACTGATGCCATCAAGGGGCTCAAAATTCTGAATTTGTCCCCCGTTCCCATGGTTGAGTGATTGCTTGATTGATCGATCGATTTGTTGGTTGATCTGCGGTTATCAACACCTCGAGGTGCTCAGAATAATATATATATATATATATATATATTTTTCAATTCAAATATTATTATATCATTTCTACCGAAAAACGAGGGAACTCCCCTGCAACGCTCACTGTGCAGTAGGATCCTTTGCCAGCAGGAACCGATGTAGGATCCTAAACAAAGAAAAGCAAGAGATAGCATTGTTCGTGAAGGCCAGAATGTTCCAGCAGGGGAGTCCCAAGCAGTTCGGCAAAGTGTTCGGCAAGAGGGAGAGTGTATCAGGTCATGTCCCAAATGTCCCAGAATGTGTCCCAATGTGTCCCGAGATGTCCCAAAGTGTCCCAAAGTGTTTCAGAGTGTTCCAACTATCCCATAAGATCCCTGGTTTGTTGCCCTATCTGACTTCCAGCAACGGTCATCACCATGTCAATATAAACATAATCCTCTCTCAACTGCTTGATGCCATGTGTCAAGTGACGGATCTCACTGGTTAGCTGCTGCCGCAGAAAAGTAAAACGGGGACAGTTAAAGAGTCGGTGGTTGCGGTCATCAATTGGGAAATGACACCATGTGCATTGTGGATCATCGACAAGGTGGAAACGATGGAGGTATTGGTTAGTTGGATAGTGGCCTGTTAGGAACTGAGCCACTAAAGATACATCTCTGCGTGAGAGGCCTCTGGTCCAACACAAAGAACGAGAGAAGTGAGGCATGATGTTGCGGCCCCGTCGGCGGCCGCTGGTTTCCGGAGTCGTGGGGGTCGCCCTGCCCTGCGGCTCGGCTGTTGGAGGTCAGCCGGCTCTCTCCACCTCGGATGGTGGGCGTATCCGGGGCAGTCGAATCGGCGGTCGCGCGGTGGGCCCAATGCTCGACGGGGATCGATCCCCGGGGCCTGCTGTCGGCGAGAGGTGGCGGCGCAGCGCGGTGGTGGTTCGCTGGCTCGCGGGAGGCCAGAGAGTGGGCCAAAGATGTTACACGGATTCACAGCATGCGCGCGCACATATTGCATGCGCGATGCCCGATCGCGGGTCCATCGCTGTCACATCAAGATAAGACAAATCAAGTGCGCGTCCAGGCACATCGTCACCGTCCACCGTTCACCTACGATGGACCCATTGTCCTCTAATTCCAAGCGTCTAACACCCGACCCCCTGGCCCTAAGTACTACGACTTCAGGAGGCCATATCTTCGCCGTTTCTTAATGGAATCGGGCGTTTAAAAGCTCGTTGGAACCAGGAAGCTCTTAGTAACGTCCCCAAAAAGTACATTTGGCCAATTACGTAATTCCCACTCCAGAAATGTCAAATAAGCCGAAACCCCAAGCAGCCACATCACACATGACATCATATAGCTGGCGGCCACAAATGGAAGTGTGCCACAATGTCTCAAGGCGAGAGATATAGTGGTGTCTGATAGAGGTCTTTAGGGTTTCATAAGAGTGTGGGACAGAAATGACCTCTATATGACTGAGACCATGAGCCGCCTGTTTGGCTATAGAATCTGCCTGGTCATGTTCTGTAATGCCAGTATGACCAGGGATCCACCATAATCGAAGATCTGGATAGTAAGCTTGAAGGTTCAACAAGGCGCTCCGAGTGATGACTGCGAGTTGTTTGCCGCCTTGTCGACATTGAATTGCCTGTAAGCTCGTCATGGAGTCACTTGCAATTCTGCACCGATGTGAAGGTCCAAATTTAGGTGCATGTAGGCATGCAAGTAGAATATATATATATATATATATATATATATATATATATATATATATATATATGGCTCATAATAATAATAATGAGCTCATTACTCTGAAGAAACTGGCAATGATTGTGTGTCGTGAAGGGCTGGCGGACCGGCGCCAATTGGGCACTTCAACTGTCTGAATGTTTCGCTTCGAGTTTCAGAAGCGCCGCTGGGGCGACTGGACACTGACTATGGCCTCTTAACTTGTGCACATGAACCCGATGTGCGTAGGTCATCAGAGACTGGCTTGGCATTTCGGATTGACACCTTTCTGTTTCTGGCAGTTTATGCGTAAAAGTGGCTGATACATCTTTATGCGTAAATAGCCATAAATTGAGCAGAAGTGGGCCCTGTCTACCTAAATACAGAATGCACAGATTCAAGGGGTCCAGGAATTGCGGCTGGACGCGCTGAAGTGCGTAAAAATATGCATAAAAGGATCATTTGCCCGGTGGCGTCGTTGTCCTTTCTGAGGGCGAAATGTGCGCTGTTTTGCCTGTGCTTGAGAGAGTGATATCACTCAATCCTTCATGAAGGATTGGTCGTTGATTGGGACATCATCATGCAATCT